TCAGGGAAAAAATAATCATCTTATTTTACGACGCCTTCATATTCAAAAACTTATTTGATCAATTCCGTTTAAAACTTTGATTTTGTACAACTTGAAAGAGGGTCTTTCTTTGAACATGAAAAAGGCCTTTAAATCCCTAACCCATAATACATATGTCCTAGGAGATTTTCCTGTCGTGGCTTGGTCATTTTTAGCACCAGGCGATTTGTTTCTTTTTTATATAAAATTTCGGAAAAAAAAACATCAATTTTACGAGCCAACCGTTTCAAAAACCATTTGACCAATTTCCGTTGAATGCAAATTTGAATTTTGTACAACTTGAGAGGGTCTTCTTTGCACATGATAAAAGGTCCTAAAGCCCTAATCCCAAATTATAATATCCAGGAGATTTCCGCGTGGCTTGGTCATTTTTTGCACCAGGCGATTTGTTCTTTCTTTATATAAATTTTCGAAAAAAACATCAATTTTACGAGCCAACCGTTCAAAAAGCCATTTGACCAGTTCCAATGCAAATTCAATTTTTGTACATCTTGAGAGCGTTTTCTTTGCACATGAAAAGGCCTAAAGCCCTAACCCAAAATTATATGTCCAGGAGATATCCGCGTGGCTTGGGTCATTTTTTTTTGCACCCGCGACTTGTTCTTACTCTTTATGTAAATTTACGGGAAAAAAACATCATATTTACGAGCGTTCAATTTCAAAAACCATTGTGATCAATTTTGCAAATTTGATTTTGTACAACTTGAGAGGGTCTTCTTTGCACATGAAAAGGCCTAAAGCCCCTAACCCAAGTAATTATATCCAGGAGATTTCCGCGTGGCTTGGTCATTTTTTGCTTCAGGCGAAATTTGTTCTTTCTTTATATAAATTTTCGAAAAAAAAACATGTCCAATTATATATTATTTTTTTTATATTTATATTTTATATTTTATTTTCGATATATTTTTTGACGAGGGGCCAAACCGTTTTTCAAAACCATTTGACCAATTCTCCAATGCAAAATTTAGATTTGCTACCCCTTAAAAAGCTTTTTTGAAACATGAAAAGGCCTAAAGCCCTCCCCCAAAAATTTAAAATTTCCCAGGGAGATTTCCTCGTGGCTTGGTTTTTTTGGGGCCACCTGCACTTTTTTTTAAACCAAATTTTAAATTTTTTTGGGAAAAAAACCTTCAATTTTAAACGAGCCTTAAAATTCAAAAAAACCATTTGACTTTTTCCCGGTTGGGGGCCAAAATTAGAATTTTTACAACTTAAAGAGGGTCTTTTTTTTTGGCCAACAATAGGGACGGGCCCTTTTAAAAGGCCCTTTTAAAAAAACCAAAAAGGAAGGGTAAAAATTTTCCGGGAAAAAATTTTTCGCGGGGGGCTTTGGGTTCATTTTTTTTAGCACCCAGGCGTTTGTTTTTTTTTCTTTAAATTAAAAAATTTCTTTTAAAAAAAATTCAAATTTTTAAGGAAAACCTTTTAAAAAGCCTTTGCAATTCCGTTTGAAATTTTTTGGGATTTTTAAATTTTTTGGAGGGGTTCTTCCCTTTGCAAAAAATAAGTCAAAAGCCGGCTGTCCCCAAGGGGTTAATATGCCAGGTTTTTTTTTCCGCGTCATTTGGGCCCTTTTTTTTTTGGAAACCCAGGGGGGGGAAATTTTTTTTTCTTTCCCTTTTAAAATTTTAAAATTTCGGAAAAAAACATAAATTTCGGGGGCCAAACGCGTTCAAAAGCCATTTGAAAAAAATTTTCCAACAATTCAATTTTTGTACAACTTGAGGGGGAAACAGTTAAACATCACCCGGGTAAAGGGGCCAAAAATGGGGGGTTTTTATACAATAAAACCCTTGCTGTTTGGCCCTAAAGGGAAATGATTTTATGATCGCCCGATCCCCCGGTAAATAGGCTTTTTCCGGGGGTTTTTTTTTTAACCCCCCGGCCAAACCAACCCCACGGTTATGCCCCCATGGAATGCATTTAAGTGCCCCACTAAGCGTGTTAATGAGCCTTTATGGTGATGGCCTCAAGGAAAGCAGTAAAGCTCACACCGACCGCCGTGATGGGCCTGTACGGGGGTTCTTATCGCTATCAAACCCACGGTGATGGCCTCGAGTAATACAGTAAATCTCACACAACCCGCGGTGATGGGTCTTTAACGAGGGTTCTTATCGCAATCAAACCTACAGTGATAGCCTCAATGAATGCAATTAAACTCACAGAACCGTGGTGATGGGCCTTTTACTGGGTTCATATCGCAATCAAACCCATGGTGATTGCCTCTAGGAATGCAGTAAAGCTCACACAATCGGTAGTGATAGGCCTTTTAAGGGGGTTCATATCGCTATCAAACTCACGGTGATGGCCTCGAGGTTTGCTGTAAAGTTCACACAACCTGCGGTAACAGGCTTTTTTAAGGGGGTTCTCATCGCAATTAAACCCGCTGTGATGGCCTCAAAGAATGCAGTTAAGCTAACATAACCCGCGGTGATAGGCTTTTACGGGGTTTCCTCATCGTAATAAAACCCAAGGTGATGGCCTCAATGAATGCAGGAAAGTTCACACAATTCGCAATCATAGGCCATTTACGGGGTTTCTAATCACAATCAAACTCATGGTGAAGGCCTCAAGGAATGCATTAAAGCTCGAACAACCCGTGGTGATAGGGCTTTTTCGGGGGATCTTATCGCAATCAAACCCACGGTGATGGTCTCAAGGAATGTAGTTAAGCTTGCACAACCCGCGGTGATTGGCCTTTACGGTGATGGCCTCAAGGACAGCGGTATAAAGCTCACACAACCTGTGGTAAAGGGCCTTTTATGGGGATTCTTTCCGCAATCAAACCCACGGTGATGGCCTCGATGAATACAGTAAAGCTCACACAACCCGCGGTGATGGGCCTTATACGGGGGTTCTTAACCAAATCAAACCCACGGTGATGTCCTCAAGGATTATAGTAAAATTTTCACAAACCATGGTGATAGGCCATTTAGGGGGTTCTTGTCGTAATCAACCCCACGTTGATGGCCTAAACACAACCTCACACAACCCGCGGAAGTAGGCTTTTAACAGGGGTTCTGTTTGCAATCAAACCCACGGTGATGGCCTCTTAGTAAAGCTTACACAACCCGCGTTGATATGCTCTTAAGGGGGTTCTTACCACAATCAAACTCACGGTGATGGCCTCAAGGAATGCAGTAAAGCACACACAACCCGCGGTGATAGGCCTTTTACGGGGATGCTTTTACGAAGGTTTCTCATCGCAATGAAACCCACGGTTATGGCCTCAAGGAATGCAGTAAAGCTTACACAACCATCGAATACCACAGTCTATGTACAGTCTTACTCTATTCACAGTTTTGCCAAGCAGTACATTTATCATACACTCTATGTACATTGTAACAATATACTCATGTATGTTGCACCACTGTATTGATCACTCTACCATTGCTCTTAGTCCGCTTAGGCTTGTCTTGTATCTTGCTGAATGAAGAAGAGATGTAATTAATTAAGACGCCGGCAGTGATATGATTTTCGTGTTTTATACATGTTCTTATTTATAATACCAGCTTGGTGTATAAAGGTAATTAAAATTTCTTCCAGTTAATATTGTGTACTCTTTTATTATTTCACACAGTACTGTTTTATTTTGGGTTCAGTTTAAGGATTTCACAGTTGAATAGGAAATGTTTAATACAATATGTAATACAATACAATAACTGAAACTATACGTCTACAAACTGTTATATCAATATAAATTCAAATTAAACGCTATATTTGATATTTTATAAGTCACTTTCGTATTTTTCAATGTGAGCGAAAGGAAGATCTCTGTAGTTGTGTATAGAAATAATGCAAATAAATGGCGATTAAATCTTCATAATTATTATTTTTGAAAATAAATTTTATCAATTTCTGATAATATACGTCTACTAAGAGCAATTTTAGTAAAGAACTTCACTTTAAACAGTATGTTTGATATTTATAAGTCATTTTCGTATTTTCAATGTGAGCGAAAGGAAGATCTCTGTACTTGTGTATAGAAATTATGCAAATAAATGGCGATTAAATCATCTTATTGATTATTTTTGAAAATAAATATTATCAATTTCTGAAACTATACGTCTACAAACTGTTATATAAATATAAATTCAAATTAAAGCTATATTTGATATTTTTGAAGTCACTTTCATATTTTTCAATGTGAGTGAAAGGAAGATCTCTGTACTTGTGTATAGAAATAAGGGTCGGTCTATTTACCCCAAGACACCCCAAGACATCCCAAGACACACTCTGGGACAGAAAGATACACATTTTTAGTCCCAGGACTACCCCAAGAAACTTATATATCTTGTGTAAATTGGGAAAGTGTTATATTATATACGACAAATGATTATTTACATGTCATCTTGTTAATTACAGTCAAATATATATCAAATAGTGTTGATAAGTAGGCCTATGGACTTAGAACTGTCATCACTAAAATATTTATTGATATGCTCTTTAATATAAAAAAATATTTTGATTAAAATTAACTTCACTAAAACAACAAGACTATGCATGTTAATCTGTAAATCTAATATAATGAAATGTGGGGCAGATGAAATAAAAAAATCAATATTATGAAACAGAATAGAGTATGATCGATTTAATAATCAAGCATGAAAAATGTGTCACTCATAAAATGACATTGTCGCAGAATTAAACTTGCGCTACACCCAAATTCAGCAACATTGGCATTATTTCATTGTTGAAAACTATTTTGCACAAAAAAAGAATACAGTATATTTATAATCTTACATTAAAAATAAATGGCGATTAAATTATCATAATGATTATTTTTGATAATAAATATAATCAATTTCTGATCATATACGTCTACATTCTGAATTTTATTGTAAAAGTCTATTAAAACGCTATAATTCATATTTTAAAAGTCACTTTCGCTCACTTTCGTCAAAAAAGTCACTTTCGTATTTTAGGCATACTGTTGTCCGAAATGTCCTATTACCTGTTGTCCGGTATATACCGGAATACGGTATTTAGTGCGGTGCTCTCACTCTTGCAAAAAACGGGTGAAGTGGAAAATTGTAAGTGATAATTGAAGGCTTAACCACATACAATTAACTGTAAAATGGGTGTAGAAGTTGTAAGGGTATCACCAGGTGACGGTAAGTTATTTAGATGACTATCCATCAGAATATAGGGGCGGTTGCCCCCCAAAGTAGGATGCCATGGACTACTTTTACAAGTGTCCGAATAACGGTTCATCCGAAATAGTCCGCACTTCATGTAACACCATGGATATTTTTGCAAATTTATCCAACGTCGTGTTAAAGCCAGATTTTGGTCTCTACGACGTACCCTCACAGATACAGAACGTCAATATTTTTGGATATTATAACGACCTGCTCAAATGTCTAAATGACTTTTTCCAAAGATAAAAGAAAAAGAGAATACATCATATAATTTGTTGATGTGAGAATGGAGAAATTTTTGAATTAATCTAGGACAGAAGTTATAGATTTAATTTAACTTTTATGTGTATCTTGGCGAGCTTTACCAAAGTATTTCCAAAGATTGGAAGTAAATGGTTGAATTTTATATCAGTGCGACTCCTTTTCAGGCATTGTTGCAGACAGGATGACCGATGTGTTTAAATATGACGTCGCTTTGAGATATTTTTGCTTCTGGGCAAAGAACGTCATATCAAAATTGCTCAAAAACCCATAGCATGTTCCGCCAGAAAATCAGGCGTAACGAAAAACAATTAAGACAGCGTGTATTTACATTAGTTTTGACCTATTTATGAACTAAACTACAAAAAAAATACCTTTTGTTAAAATAATTACTGTCACATCCGAAAAATCATGATTAAATCCTCTCATGTATTTAAATTCCTTTTACAGCCGATAAACAAATGGCAGCTATAAAGTGCGCGAAACCTGATTGGCTAATTCAAATGCAAGCATTTAACTGAGTCAGAACATTCTAACGGAATATTTTTTTAACGAAATAATTGCCCATGCACCGTCAGTGTATTCGAATATATTTTCCATTCAAAAATTTGGAATCAATATGTAAAACACCTTGCTTTACCAGTATGGCTGATAGACCAAAATAGATTGATGTTTATATTTTATTTTAAATTGATAAGTACAGTGACTGTTTGAGAGTTTTTGTTTATGATTAAGCATGAAATTGAAAGAAAAGAAGATAAGCTTTTGAATAAAGCTTGAAAGGCTAGACAATAGACATTTTTTGAATTTTTTATGATGCAATGCGTTTATGAGCAATAACTATTAGACGTCAGACTTGACTGACATAAACTATAACTAGCCTGTAACATCTATTATTTTGGACTATGATGTGTGATGTTATTATAAATTTGAGTTTCGCTAATTTTGGATTATTAAAAATAACACCTTTGATAAATGTCACATAAAAAATTGTAATAAATCTATATCGTGGAACTAAATATACATGGAGAAGAAACTGTGACATCCCACAGTTAAATTCAGTATTGGCAGAATTCTGTTTATGCAAGTTATCATATACGTGTGGTGGGATTTTCCAAGATTTGATGCATTCTGGGTAAAAGTAGCCAAAATACCACCATATTGAATTTCCGGAGGTACATCGACAAATAAGACGAATCATTTTCAATTTTTATTATAAGCAATAGTTATTTATTTTTAAATGTACAATACACACTAAAAAGTATTCATACAAATATTTCTCCGATGAAAATCCATGTTAGCAATGTAATTGTAAACAATAATTCACAGATATCACCTTAGTATAACAAGAGTGAAAATCCTGATTATCACCCCAGTGCGTAATGGATTGTGGGTCTGAATCTGACTATCATCTATTTTCTGAGCTTCCTATCTATATATATCTGTGTCTATATATTAAATAGCAACTAAAATTATTAATTTATTTTCATTTAAAAACATAGTGCTCAACAAAGATAAAGTGATTCCTTTTTCAAAAATAACTTCCTAGCTCAGCATCATGGTACCTGTTTGTTGACCCGTCTTTAAACAGCAAATTGTATTTAGGTAAATGTCACATACCATATTGTTTCTATTTATAGCCCCCCTTCTAATTAGCCCCCCCCCCCCCCTGTGTGAAAAATGAAAAAAAATCTTACCCGACTTGAAAATTTTAATATCCGAAGTGTATTTAAAAAAATAAACAGAAACAAACTAACTGTTGTAACTTGCAAGTAACATTCAACTTCCAGTTTGAATGCATTCGTGTACGTTTTCTTAGAAGTGCAACCTTCCATTGTGTATTGATTAAATCATTAAATCAAGTTTTTTACACACAGGTAAACTGATGTGTGTTACGTCATAATTTCCCGCCAGAGCAGGAAAAATCAATACTTGACAAACTTTATCAGCGGACTACTGTATTGTCTACAATAATTTTGTGCTGCTTATTTATCGTACGTGAACAAGGGGTTTATACAATACGGTAATTCATACAAAAAGTTTTTTCCAGACTTTTAGAGTGTGTGCATGTATATAAACAAATACAATCACGATCCACGATCTCTGGACTGATGAATGTTGGTTTTAGATTTTTCATTTATATTTTTGATTATCATAGTACTCTGATACTTGCCCAAGCCCTATTAGCGAGGCAAGATTCACTTTCGCAGTGAACAGGATAAACCTTCTCCATGGCGACAACAACCATGTTTTCGATTTATCCTGCTTTTGTCTAGTTTAATCATATTTTTAGATTAATTCACTGGGTTCATTCTTACTTTTCCCCTGATATAAACAGCGTCTATATGTAGTTATGTTTTGCTGCTAACCATGTGACGTCATTTTAGGCTTACCATGTGACATAATGACTGGAGATATCAGTCTGTGCGAAAGTCTGTCGGTCCTCCGACCTCGCCAACTAAAAATCAGGAGGGCCGAGATAAATTTCGATACAGCCGGTCCTCATGTCCGAATAAAATTTCAGCCAGTTTGACACAATTTTTGGCCTTCTAAATTATACAAAACTTCCAAGATCGATCTTTTTTTTCATTTTTGCTTGTATTCAAAGACCCAGATAACCAAAATCACGCAAGATACAACCAGTTTTTGCTAAGTAATGTAAGCCACCATCTTGTCTTAGATAATTTCCTACCAAAACATATTTTTTCTCCAATCTTCAAAATTAAACTTTTGAAAGCGGTATCGTTTTCTTGTGAATTATGCTAATGTTTTAATTATTATGTTTCTGTATATATTTTTCAAAGTATCTTATAGTTGAGTCTGATAATTCATATTTGCTTAATATTTTTGTTTATAATTATGGCAATATCCCTCCCCCACCCCTACAAAAAATACCTTTCAGAACCAGGGCCGGAAATAAATCTAAGGATCCCAGTCCTTGTGGCTGGAAAAAAATTTTGACTTTCGCATTGACTGAGATATACAAGTTATTAGTTATCAGGCAAGGCTTTCTGCAGCTGATAAAATAGACAGTTGCAGGATTGAAGGAATTTGAGCCGTCATCACTCTTTCATACAATTTTGGTTTTTTTCAAGTTTTTATCATTTTAGGTACATAATACACGTATTATTATAATTATACAATTCAACCATAATTTATTTTACTTAATATTAACTCTTCATGAATGCAATATAGACATTTCTTGTCAGTCCCCTGTTCTTTTCATCCGATTGGTCTAATGAAATTATGCGTTGAATAGTAGTTTATAAAATTAAGTAATTTTCAGTTTTGATATTTAATCAGTATTTGGATGTGACATTATCATCTCTCCTCTTTTGAATTGACCTTTATCTAATGTGTGTGACTCAATTATTAGCTTAACAATTAGGTCCAGATTATTCCTTTTAAAGCCGTGATCCAACATAAAATTTTGTTTTGTTTTAAACTTTCTTTTTTAGAAATGATACCGTAATATGTATTGTAAACATAAATCAGTCATACATGTATAATATACATGTCACATTCACAAGCCAAAAACCTGTGTTAATTTCTGTCATTTATAACACAGACACTAGTGTGGTGAAGCTTCAAGCACTTCAAAATACAAATAATTGTATATCCCTAAAGAAAAATTAGAGTAAAAAAATTAAGTAATTCTAGAAATATTGACGCTGCTAAAGTTATTAGCCATATCGCATATGATTTTGCTAGTGATAAGAAACATAGATTTAATTGCTAATTCAAACTGCATGTCATCTTTGAGTGACTTTTATACATATTTGACATACATAATTATGTACATGTAATGTTATTTCTGTTTCAGGTAAAACCTTCCCAAAACCGGGAGATACATTATCCATGCACTACACAGGTAGGTCAATGCTTAAAGTAAGACAATTTTTGTCATTTTTGTTGGCCAAAAGTGATCATTAATGACAGGCCGGTCACTACTGGCAGGCTGCTTAAACTTCCAAGATTGTTGACTCAAATCCTTGACACAAATAATAATTGAAATTAAGTTAGCCAGTTGGGCTTATAACTTTTGTTAACAAGTAGCCCATCTTAAAATTAATTAGCCTAGATCAAAATTAAAAATTGTAAAGATAAACAATGTTTATTTTCTTCCGCTTCTTCTTTATAATGTAAAGTTTAAACAAAGCAACAACCTTGTCAAAGTTATGTTAATGTCTTTGTGATAAATAACTTTCAAGATAATGAGCGGACACCATTGTGACATTTAAGGCCCTTTTGACCTTGACCTTTAAACTAGAGACATGGAAATCAGTAGGGGTCATATAGTACCTATGACCAATCAATATGTGAAATATGAAGACTTTGTGATATATAATGTGTATTCAGTGTATATATCAACACATCTGGATTACCGTAGCAAAAATTTTTTTTGATTTGTCAGCATTGAATTGGATCATACATTTGTAGATGTAATGTGAAATAATGGCTCTCTTTCTTTTTCAGGTACTTTAGCTAGTAATGGAAAGAAGTTTGACAGCTCAGTAGATAAAGGTCGTCCATTTCAGTTTACAATTGGAGTAGGTCAAGTTATCAAAGGTTTGTGATAAAAAATATATCAATATTATAAATTTTAGGCAAAAATTGTATTCTTAGTTTATGTACAAGATATGGAAAGAACAGGGCTGAAAAGGATATAATGACTTAATAAATGGTTTATTAAAGTATCCCTTACAAAGAAATATAGATTACAAAAATTGAACAGCTTTATATAATGAACCACAATAATTTAATTGAAGTCATCATCATGACTCTTTAGTGCAATAGCTATTCCTTAAAGATATGAATTTAATATTTAAAAATTTTAAAAATTGCTACACTTTCTCTTCGAAAATATAAGACCAACATGTTTTGATTTCACACAAAGGAGATAAGTATTAAACTCTACATAAGGCCACAATATGAATATAATTATAAGGTGTCATTAAAAAAAAAACCCTGGCAGTTTTTTTTTTTTTTTGTTTTTTTTTAAGGACCAACCTTACTTGACCTGTAGTAGGGATCTCAACTTCCCATACAAATGTTGTACATTCTTTCATTCAAATTAGATATATTAAGTAAGAATTTCATAGGTTTCAATAAATTTCTGTGATAAAATTATTTTACTCAAAGATGAGCATAGTATATATGGAAGGAAGAATACGCATTTCTGACTATGCTATTTGGTTTTATTTCAGGTTGGGATGAAGGTGTCATGCAGGTATAAATTTGAATCTTTCTATATAATAGCTTACATATAGCTTTCAACTTTATATAAAAAAGGTTGATGTTTTTTTTTCATTTTTTATATGCCGATATTTTTTTAAAGTGACATATAAACAGGATTGCTGTTGGCAGCAGGCACTGTCCATCCAGTGTCCAGTTTGGTCAAGAGCTTATCTTCTTTCATTTAGGGATTTGTAAAACCAAACCTAAAAACTAAGGCTTTTGTCTGCTGGAAGATATTGCATGGGGAATAAAGTTTAACTGCAATATGTCAGTCTGATTTCCCAAAAGCTACCCCAAAAAGACTGCTTTTATACATATATAAAGATTAATTGATAATGTAAATATATTGATGTTACAAGATATATTCTTGATGACTTTTAATTTCCTTTAGCTGGATATAATCCATGGGGAGTAACTACTCATGTCCAATAACACAAGAATTTGAATTATCTCCCCTTATGTAGTTTTCATGCTGACTGTATGGGAAATGTTATTATATATTGATTGATATTTCAGATGAGTTTAGGGGAGAAGGCAGTTCTAAACATTAGCTCAGACTATGGGTATGGACCTCAAGGAGCAGGAGGAGTATATCCTTTTATAAACTATACTGTATGCATAGACAAACAAAAGATAAGTCATTAAAGAGTCTGTTGTGATGATTTGACGGTTTGATATTTGTGTATGATGTAAGCATCATAATGTCCAGAGCACATCTGTCTTTATTACCAAAATAACCCTTTCAAAAAATTTTTTTTTCTGTCCCTCATGACAAGCAATGCAAAGACATAGCTTTTGTTTGCAACTTATTTTCACAAAATTTAATATATTACTTACATTTTCAGTACTCAAAACATTTTATAATTTTGGTCCAAGTTCCATAATTCACAATATAATTTTTTTAATTCTTATTTATAAAAATCAGAAATAGTAAAAACTAATATTTGCCAAATTGAAACCTATGTTACTGGTGTATTGATATTCTCTGGACAAAAGTACATGTTCCTGTTTTTTCAAAACATTTCCCTGTTTAAAAGTACCTCAGTCATTTGTCATGATGTTGGTAAAATACTTAACATACTGTCATGAAAGTTCTGTCATTCAGTGGAATAAATGTTAAGATCATCAAATTAAAAATTTATTTGACTTTTCATTGTCAAGTCTATTTTACTGATTTGGTATTTACTATATATTTGCATGGACATAAGTACATGTAATAAAAGTGATAATTATCAACCAAGTAGGGATAAAATGGCTTTTATGGACTGAAGTCCTGAGCTAAGCTTAAACACATAGGTTATTATGTAGCTAGCTCTTGTTGATGAAGTAGATTGATCCTTAACTGAATACACTATCCCTCCCAATGCCGATCTAAAATTTGAAGTACAACTACTCAAAATAAATTAGAAGAAATCACAGATGTGGGCAGATAGTTCAAGATGTATTAGGGAAATGGTGACCAGAAAATAGAAAAAAAGAACATCTACAGGAAGAAAGCACACTGCCAACAGAAAAAAACTGATATTGAAATTTATCTTGAAGTTACAGGTCTTTGTTAAACAATTGTGGAGATGTTATTGTAACTGCTTTGTTGTAATGTTATATGTGTGAAAATAAACTGTAGACTTACTCAACTTTTCAAATTATATTTTATTTATTATATTGTGTCACTTACAAAATCCAGATCTGCCACTCAAAAGTCAAGGTCACACAGGGGGAGGGAATTTGCACAAAACCCGTGTCCTTGTCCAGAGCATAACTTCTATATGTGTGGCTGGATTTTTATAATAATATAACTTGGGACAAATGTTCTTCATAGTGAGGCGGAGTGTTGCGTGAAAAATTCAGGTGTCTGTGGCAAAGGTCAAGGTATCTTTAGGGTTAAAGGTCAAATAACAAATTTAAACTTAAAAAGTTGTGTTGCACAAAATGAAGGTCAAGATCACAAGAGGTCAAATAAAAATATCAAAATTTGTTTGTCCACCATGTATCTTGCTTATACTTTGAAGTATTATGCTAAGTGGTCAGAGGATTTTTGTCAAGCCTGCTTGCGCTGAGCTTTACATCATTGTCAAAATGGCTGTTCAGTGTTTGTGTATGCGTGCGTGGTCCAAACTTTGCCATGCCAGAACTTCGTGCATGGAGGAATTTTTAGCTCACCTGTCACAAAGTGACAGGGTGAGCTTTTGTGATATCTCTTTTCGTCCGTCTGTCCGTCGTCCGTAAACTTTTACTTTAAATGACATCTCCTCATAAACCACTAGGCCAATTTCATCCAAACTTCACAGGAATGTTCCTTTGGTGGTCACCTTTAAAAATTGTTCAAAGAATTTAATTCCATGCAGAACTCTGGTTGCCATGGCAACCGAAAGAAAAAAAACTTTAAATATCTTCTTTTAAAAAAACCCTAAGAGCTAGAGCTTAGATATTTGGCATGAAACATCTTCTAGTGAGTGTCTACCAAGTTTGTTCAAATAAAAGCCCTGGGGTCAAAATTGGCCCCGCCCCAGGGGGTCATTGATTTTCCCTATATGCATATAGTAAAAACTTAAAAAATCTTCTTTTAAAGAACTCAAAGAGCAAGAGCTAAGATATTTAGCATCAAACATGTTCTAATAGGTGTCTACCAAGTTTGTTCAAATAAAAGCCCTGGGGTCAAAATTGGCCCCGCCCCAGGGGGTCATTGATTTTCCTTATATGTGTATAGCAAAAACTTAAAAAATCTTCTTTTAAAAAACCCAAATAGCTAGAGTTTAGATATTAAGCATGAAACATCTTCTAGTGAGTGTCTACAAAGTTTGTTCAAATTAAAGCCCTGGGGTCAAACTGGCCCCACCCCAGGGGTGTCATTGTTTTTAACTATATGTGTATAGTAAAAACTTTAAAAAATCTTCTTTTAAAAAAGCCCAATGAGCTAGAAATTAGATGTTTAGCATGAAACATCTTATGGGTGTGGGGGGGGGCTATATACAGGTGAGCAACCTCAGGGCCATCATGGCCCTCTTGTTAAATAAATTGAATTGAATTTTAAGGCACAAATGTTCATCATGAGACTTTGTGTCATGCACATGAACCAGGTCAAGGTCACCTAAGATGATTCAATGTTAAGACTGCCTTGAGTATTAAGAGGATTTGTTGGCACATCTCGCCTATGTTTACATCTTTCTCCTTGAACTGAAGCTTATAGGTTCAGGTTTGAATTAAGACGACTCTGTCCGTGGGCATGTCATGTTTTTTATTGAATCGCCTCTAGAGTAGTGGTAACATAAAAGCGACTGTCTGTCCGTCCGTCACAAAACGAACTACTCAGAAACTCCTGGTGCAATTTCATTCAAACTAGAAGAATAATCGGTTTGCATTTCTTTGGCATTTTACGGTTCAATGATTTTTTTAGAATTATGGCCTACTGCAATTTCAGTGAAATGAGAGTGAAAAAATATATACTTCATTGTAGCTGAAATGCTATGGGTTGGCCTTATTTAATTTCTTATATCTCAAGTTGATAAAATGATTCATTGTTGATCTGTCTCATCAAATTCTGTCAAGTTTCCTTGGTCAACTGAAAAAAGTAATGACACAACAAGGAATGAGATCATATCGTTCACCTATTTATCGATTGTAATCACACAAAGTAATCAGCGAAAAGTCCATTGAACTGAGTCTACATAGTTCTCTATGTTTCATACTAGGTTCTGTTGACCTCTTATTATCAATTCGCACACAAACACAGTAACTTTAATGTAACTAATGTAATGATAAAATGGATTTTTGAGAAGGCTGTTCACATAAAGAAAGAAAAGTCGTTGACCGTTTCAGATTTCTTTGATTTAATGTCCCATTTATGATTAGAAACATGTTTTCATTACAAAAATACTCGCGAAACAATACTAAAGCTAAGAGCCTTCTTTTCTTTTTTATAACGTTACTAAGTATGACGAGTTAACAGTACATCTGCACTTTTGTACTTCAATTAAAATCTTTAAAGGTTATACCCATAAGATATATGAACTATTTTTTATACAAATTATAAAGAGTAAAATTATTTTCTTTTCATAATATTTAAGTCGATCTTGAAAGAGTCCATATGAAGTTTGTTTCCCGTATACATATGATTTAATTCGTTCTTTATCTACAACACGATCGTGCCATTTTCCATGCCATTGAGTCACTAAAGTTAAAAACATCCTGAGCCGCTCTCATCCGTCGAACATCATGACTGCGGACAGTAGCATTGCTTTCAAAATTAAGGTTTATATTCTCTAATACCGTAACACTTGATACAGCTCTTATTTATCGAGCTTTTTATAGAAAGGGAAAACGATTTTGCTGAAAATATTTGTTTAGAACTGGCAGAGAACTATTCCTTCTCTCGGTTATAGTTGCATGTTATACAAAAAGTCCATTAGAGAATATCTTATATGCCGTTAACACTTTTTTTCTAGAAAAATATCGGGAGTAGTATTATATAGTTTCAAGTCTTTCTTTCTAAGTGTACTTGATCGAATATTTTCTTACTTGATAACCTCTGTGAATTATCTAGAGTATAATTTGACCACAAGATTGTGTTGTTTAATTGCACTGGGTTAATGACAGCATGCCGATAGGTCATTCCAGTTCAGTTTAATTTATCTGTACCGTAGATAGCAACGTATAATTAACACTGTGACAAAATACAGGCACGGCTATTGTTCTTCTATTTTCTATTTACATGAGATTTATATCAATAATAACACCGGGTACGTGTCAACAACTAATTTAATTTGATAGATGATTTAAATAGTGAATCACATGTGTCCAAAGTGATATGTTCGGCAGCATACGTTCACGAGTATTGGTCTCTATTCCAATTTACATTTTCATACATTGGTTTCTTTCAACCCATAAGCTGCTGGAACCGGAAGTGGCCACGTTTGCCACCAGAATAGAGGCAGGCCCACTTGCATAATTATGTAACCAGGCACTATAATTTTAGTAGCATAATCTTTGTATTTTTATATTGATTCACCCTTGACCTTCGAACAATTTGCATTGTTCCTAATTAAAAGTAAGACAAATCCATTAAAGTTGCACGCCTTCAGATGAGCCAAACTATTTTTTTAAAATAAAACTTGAGAAAAATGTACTCAATTTTAAGGAAAAACAAAAAGATTTAAGATTCAATTAACAATATACATGTTATGTGCGATTAATGACTGATTTTGCAGTATTTATCACCATATTTCTACTGGGTGATTAACGCAGTAAGGGGTGTCTTTGCATATTTTGACCACATTTATTTGGTAATTAACGTGGACTTTAATCTTAAATTACTTTCTTTGTTCACTTCTAAATATTTTACTTTTTTGCATTTGCATTTTCAAAACTTTTATGAACATAAATCTGGAGGCATGTTGGTATGTACGCAAATTGCTACAGCCGATTATACATCCATTAGCGAGGTTTTAGATGATCTCTTTTTCCTCTGACCCATTTTTAGCTCACCTTGCACAAAGTGCAGGTGAGCTTTTAGGATGGCCAACCAAATGGCGTCCGTCGTCTGTCGTCCGTCCACATTTTAAATATTCTAAGGACATCTTCTATGATACTGCAAGGCCAATGTTAATGAAACTTGGCAGGAATACTCTTTGTATGAAGCTCTATCAAGATTGTTCAAAGAATTCCATTTCATGCAGAACTCTGGTTGCCATGGCAACCGAAAGAAAAATCTTAAATATCTTCTTTTAAAGAACCGTAAGAGCTAGAGCTTAGATATTTGGCATGAAACATCTTCTAATGAGTGTCTACCAAGTTTGTTCAAATAAAAGCCCTAGGGTTAAAATTGGCCCCGCCCCAGGGGGTCATTGATTTTCCCTATATGCATATAGTAAAAACTTAAAAAATCTTCTTTTAAAGAACCCAAAGAGCTAGAGCTAAGATATTTGGCATGAAACATCTTCTAGTGAATGTCTACCAAGTTTGTTCAAATAAAAGCCCTGGGGTCAAAATTGGTCCCGCCCCAGGGGGTCATTGATTTTCCTCTTTGTATGAAGCTCTATCAAGATTGTTCAAAGAATTCCATTTCATGCAGAACTCTGGTTGCCATGGCAACCGAAAGAAAAATCTTTAAATATCTTCTTTTAAAGAACCGTAAGAGCTAGAGCTTAGATATTTGGCATGAAACATCTTCTAATGAGTGTCTAACAAGTTTGTTCAAATAAAAGCCCTGGGGTCAAAATTGGCCCCGGTCCGGGGGGTCATTGATTTTCCCTATATGCATATAGTAAAAACTTAAAAAATCTTCTTTTAAAGAACTGTAAAAGCTAGAGCTTAGATATTTGGCATGAACCATCTTCTAGTGAATGTCTACCAAGTTTGTTCAAATAAAAGCCCTGGGGTCAAAATTGGTCCCGCCCCAGGGGGTCATTGATTTTCCCTATATGCATATAGTAAAAACTTAAAAATCTTCTTTTAAAGAACCCAAAGAGCTAGAGCTAAGATATTTAGCATGAAACATCTTCTAATGAGTGTCTACCAAGTTTGTTCAAATAAAAGCCCTGAGGTCAAAATTGGCCCTGCCCCAGGGGGTCATAGATTTTCCCTATATGCATATAGTAAAAACTTAAAAAATCTTCTTTTAAAGAACCCAAAGAG